TGCAATGTGTAATCAACGATGCCAGCGCAGTTAAGTCCTAAGCTTCAGCCGCCTAGGGCATTTTACTTATTTGTCAATTTGCCTTACACAAATGGCACAAAATACAATTCTGAATATGAAATGTTGTTATGATATTTAGTTTCATTGGTTCTTTATTTGTAATATTTGATCAAGAACATAATTTGCACAATGGCTCCAATGGTAATATTGTTTTGGTATTTGATGTAGATTTAATGAAGCAAGTTCAGTATCCTATGCAGGGAACAGTACAATCAGTGTTGTAGGAAATCTTTCTGGATCTCGTCAACTTCGGAACCACGAGAGGGAAGCCTGAGAAGTGGAAGGAAATTTTTACTGGAAGAAAAAATATGTCGAAGTGAAAATATAATTTTGATTAGAGGCAATAAGATAAAACTAGAATTTATTAATCTATACACTGACTATAATACGGCAGCGTATTCAGACATAATCTGTTGAAGTCATGTTTTTGTTATATTTATTTATCTATCCAAGCTTGATATTTCCTACAAGCTACAGAGCTAATTTTTTGTCACTGGTAAAATTACAGTATCTATGAAAAATATTCTATTCAATTCAAGAGTCTTGCTGCACACGAACACAAATATATTTCTGTAACGTTTCGTCTGACCGAGGTCAGACTTGTTGTAAAATGCTTGTCTGAAGAAGTCTGACCTTGGTCAGACGAATTGTTACAGAAATATATTTGTGTTCGTGTGCAGCAAGACTCTTCAATTGAATAGAATGGCCATTTACACTCTTGCTACAGCATCCTTGCGTAATACGCATACGGATCCACCTGCGCAAAGGCATAGAGAGCAAGGAAAGGTAGTTAGTTTCGCGCAACCACAACTGTTAGTTATCTATGAAAAATATTAGTCATTTACATATCATTGAATGCTTGCACAGAGCCTTGTATACAGGTAAAAACATGAAAATGTGGAATAAAAAAACTTTTATTTCTATATTATTCAAATCACCATATCCTACACACTGTTTTGTCACCATTTCAATGAAGAAATGACAGAGCAACTGATTGAACTCAAAAGAACTGGGTGGATGTAAACCTGGAGAAAATTTCATGTAAACAAGCAACCCTTTATCTACCTTCGATACCAATGCAAGTTCATTACTCAATTCAGTTTCAAGTGATGATTATCCAACTTGTTATTTCAGGAATTTAAGACTATTCATAAGGATGCATGTTGGGGAAAGTGGGCAAAGCAATATTTTGCCAGAGTGTCAATTGAATAAAATTATCTAACCAGTATTGGAGGATCATGCGTAAATCCTTTTGCCTTCAATGCTTGTTTCAGTTTCATTGTATGGTTTGGATCTGGATATCCATTGCTGAAACAAAAAAGAATTTATGAACTCTGTTTGAGCATGTTTCTAGAAAAATAATAGAAATTTGTCAAGTTTTCTGTTTAACCATAACAGATCCTGCCCGGAGAGTATTGAAAAACAGAATTGGGTTCTAGGAATAAAAAAACCAAGATGGTGGACACCGGAATGTGGTATGTGTACCAGTTTGGGTAAGGCCATAATTTTATTGCAATTTTCCTTATTTTAGTTCTATTACGAGTTCGGGGACTAGCCAAGTGACTCTAAAATTATAGCTTAACCCCAACCTGGTACACATACTACTTCCTGTGTCCGCCATTTTGGTTCACATACTTTAGGAAGTACCAAGATTTCGTCTGAGAAATCAAAAAAAGTCATGATGGGGCTACAAACTATGGTTCGACAAACATTTAACTTTACCATAAGCGGCCATTCAAGTTTATGTTAAAAAATTTGAGAAAATTTAATGTATGTCAGAAATTTAGACTTTTCAAAAATAAAAAGTCTTCTTCTTCAAAATTAAGAAGTCCAAAATTAAAAAAAATGATTAAGAAATTACGACTCTAGTTTTGAACTTGATACCAAAAAATGTCAAAATTAACTTCCCTCTCTGCTCCCGTCACAGGTCCTTACAATTTCAGATGAAATGAAAATCATGCTAATTCATAAAGTCATAGCAAATAATCTTCTGTACATGATGACCAGGCAGTTTTATTAACATAGTTGGTCAGAGTGAATTATAAGAAAACCATTGGTTTGGACTTGCTCAGAATGAATTATATAAAAACCATTGGTTTGATGTCTCTGGTAGTTATAAAACGTTAAATCCCTGTAAATTTAATAACTCATCGTTCCAAACAATTTTTCCTCTTCTGTCACCAACTTCCTGAATATTGAAAATCAATCCTGCATTGAATGCTTGAATGAGAAAGTTGAGACATATCCCTCCATCCCCAGTATATGGCAAATATTCAGTGAATTCTTGAGCTTCATATGAAACCTCCTGAAGAAACAAACAAAACTAATCATCTCTCATACCTGGGGGTTTGTTAAACTGATATAAATATCAGAATATCTATGAAGGTTAAGCAGAAGTTAAAAACTTAATCAGGAGATATCTGAATTGTCATTGCAAGAGTGTCGTGTTGATGAGGCAACTTCTGTTTTTGGCAGACCACGGTCTCCCGTGGCCAAAACGCCCCATTTAAAAAAAAGTCAGCGATAGAACAGCCAGGCCCGGCTCGAATTTCGGCTTCGGATCTTAGCTCTACTATACATCAAATTTCCGTTTCACATTTTTTTGATTTGCATATTATAATGTATATTCAGTTACACAGGGGTTCTTAAGCCTTGGAAATGTTTATTGGGGTTCCTCTCCTCCATAAAGGTTGAAAAATCTTTGCTCTAGACAAGAAGAACTCGGAAGAGGTTCTGGTTGTCACTCAAATGAACACATTATTTCCAATGTCAATTCTGATGTTTCCAAATTCCACAACTTGAGCATTTGATGATACATGATTTCCCTGTACAGTGCAGTCTGCACTTACTTGGGGCAATGGTTTAGTACAAATTCGCACTGGTGTAGTTTTCAAAATGAATATCGAACTGAATAGAACATTCATAAAAAAAAAGAAATACTAAGTTGAAATATTTGCACATCTGTGACAGACTTAGCATTTTAGAGTTTTATACCAATTGGGGTTAGAGGAAAACTGATAAAATTGCCCTTGTCCCTGTACGTGGAATTCTATAGCTAGTCTTACTTCTGGACAAAAGCAGTGAATTGTTTTTTATTTCATAGTTATCATCATACTGTGAAATGAAGTTTTTATTTTTGGTAATTTCCTCGCTATTCAGATACCTTCAGAATTAATTATGGTAAATGGTAGTTCAACCACAAGCTATATGATCTAGTTGTCTTGTCCTAGTCCATAAGCATTAGATATAGTAAATACAAGTTCTTTGTGTATGTTAGGGGTGTGCCAGATGCAGCCCTGAAGAAAAATTGTGCGTCCTTCTGAAAAGTGCCATATTTGAATGACATGTTCCCGTGTCACGAGATTTTATTTTTGTAATTCCAATTCTTTACGTTGCGAAGCCTATATCTGAGTCCAATTCATTATCAATGCCTATGACATTGCAATGGCCCAACAGCTAGCTCGTGCAAAGCGAACTACTCAAGACTACCGTATGTATATAAAGCTGCAGCCGCAGTATCACCCAGTTATTTGCTATCTGGCCCTAACGATGGCGCATCCCTGAGGAAATGGCCAAATAAACAATCTAGTACCGGTTATTTGAATACATACTGAAATGGTATTTTTGAACATATTCCTAATGTTTAGTAAAGAATACGTTTCCTGGATATTTATTCGAATCAGATTGGACATTCCTGATACTCTATCATGTTGGTCTTATTCAGTAATAAAAATGTTTAAAGGGGTTTTGCTGATTTATTATTGGTATCATAGTAGAAGTATGTGTAGTGTACCAATATGGAGGTAACTAATGTTATTCGCCTACTTTACATCAAGTTGTGTAGAGAGACTGAAACCTATGGACAGGGGTATATTCACTTGGCTAACACAGACAGTCCCCGAACTCGTAATAAAACTAAAATAAGGAAAATCTAAATAAAATTATGGCCTGACCCTAACCTGGTGCACACACTACGGGAGTACTCACAATTGGACCCCATACCACTTATAGTGTAATAAATTGGTTACTAAGACTGGTTTTATACATTTCGAGTAAAAAATTAGCCGTCCCCCATATTGAAACAATTTTGCAAGATCACACATTCTTTATATCAAATTGGTTCGAAAAACACATTAATGCATATCAAATTATTTATAAAGTTGAAACATATAAAAAAATATTTTACTGGAATAATAACTCAGTGGTATTTCTGCGTCAGATCTTTTAATAGTTTGTAAATACAGTATTGGCTTGGTCGCATAAATTGTTATAAAAATATTAACACATTCGTTTATATTATTATTAAATTTGTTTTATATAAAATATAGAATACACTTGAGCACTTAGCCAAATGTGTGTGAGTATGAGTGCAAGAGTATACGAAGTCACGTATTTCCATAATTTGTATATTGTCAGATTCTTTTATATTAGGTAATCCCGAAGTATGTGAACCAAGATGGCGGACACCGGAACGTGGTATTTGTACTAAGTTAGGTTCAGGACATAATTTTATTCCAATTTTCCCTATTTTAGTTCTATTACGAGTTCGGGGACTAGCCATGTGACTCCCGTAGTAATTGTACCTGAAATTATGGCCTGGTACCTGGTACACATACTACGTTTTTGTGTCCGCCATCTTGGTTCACATACTTTGGAGGTACCCTATATTATACAGAACTGCGCTTGGTTTCGCAATTATATAAATAATACATAAAAATGCTATAGGACAGGGATGGCGAACCTTTTTCAATGAATGGGTCAAAAATTATATTTTTATCGCGGAACAGAAGAGAGTGGGTCACAGATATATGATCAATGTTGTATCTATAAGAAACTTCTGAAACAAATCTTTTAGGCTTATGTTGGTGTAGTTTCAGGCTTTACTTATGCAGCACTTCTATCAGGGACTTGATTCGGGCACTCGATTTTATGAAATTAAAGTACGAAAACACGCATATGAATTACCATAAACATTTAGGATGATGCGGTAAATTATTTTACGGTTCCAAAGAGTTTGGAGGGAATCCCACCTTGACAGTGTTCTATTTTTCGATCAACTTCCAACCTCATTAAGGCACTTTTACACTCCCCCATTGTTATTTCAGATTTCTAGGCTTTTATTTCAAGTCTGAAAGATTTTGTTCTCTTAGCGGTATTGTGGGCGAGAAACTAATAAAATACAAAGTAGCATCTAGTTCTCGCATAACCCCTAAAACAGTCTGCAGATGAACTTCCGAAAGAGACCCGACGTAGCGACGAATTAACATATCAGTTGCATTGTTATGTCATAAACGATGTCAGAGCCAATAGCTGAATGATGGTTCACAACGGTGCAGACATGCGTCCAAGATTAAGGGTTTTGAAAATTACCATACCGGCCCGAAATTAACAATTTGAATATGAGCCCTCGCGGCCCGAGCTACCCAACTGACGGTAGATTCAGTGGCGTATCGAGGGTGTGGCAGCCATGGCTCGTGCCATGGGCGCTGTTTAGACAGGGGCGCAAAAACGGCAAAAATTTTTAATCGCAATATGTTTCAATAGAATTATTTCAAATTGGAGACGACTGAAACTCGCATTTTTACTTGAAAAATATCGTACAGGTACAGTATAGCATTTCAATAACAGTCTATATAAATCGTTAACCAACTATCGAGGGGTGCATTTTTTACCTTTGCCATGGGCGCCATGTTACGTAGATACGCCACTGGGTAGATTATAATAGTTTAGGTATTGTTAGATTAATTTAAGGCTTGGCGGGTCACGAATAAAACGCGGTGGGTCACTTTGTGACCCGCGGGTCAGTGGTTCGCCATCCCTGCTATGGGATATTGATAGATATATACAGTGGTGGTTGGCAATTAGAAGCTCAGAAGAATTGTTTGGATGGAATGTGGTGTAATTAACAGCAGCAGTGGGGAACCTACGGAATAATTATACAATATATCATAAAAGTAAAATATTAATTAATATGCATAAGAATGACATTGAAAATTAAAGATGTTTCGATTACTAATACATTTAGATGTGGTCGACAATAAGGACCCAGAGCAGAAATAGGATATTTATACAGCCTAATTCATGAGCTCAATTACACAAGGTTGGGTTGGACATTTTTAAATCAATTTATACTTGACATATTAATTTTCGGCCACAGTAAAAACTAATGGGCATAACCTCCCAGGAGTTTGAGTCAATTTTAAAGTATCGTGACTGACACAAAAATGCCAGTTAATTAAACATATTTTGATTAGTATATTAAAATTGATGCGAATAAATAATGTTTTAATAAAAATGCTGATTGATTGCGTCGAATCCAATATATTGACAATGCAACCTAGCTATGATGGTAATATTGTTTTGGCTCTTGATGTAGTTTTGATGAAGGCGAGTTCAGCATCCTCCATGCGGTTGATCGTTTGCAGGAAATCTTACTTGTCTTCCATTCATTAAAAATATGATCCCCCTCTCAATATCAATTTCTGAGAAATATCAATTCCTGAGAAATGACAAAGAAATTAAAACAATTAATAAAACCAGAATTTGTCAATCTGTGCACTCTGATATGGCAGTTCATTGAAACATGTTATGTTTTTGCTATATTCATTATACCTATTCAAGCTAAACATTTCCCAAACTACAAAACTTATTTCTTGTCACTGGTAACATCCCGTACCTCCAGAAGTATGCGCACCAAGATGGCGCACAACCTGAACATAGTATGTGTGTACCGGTTATGATTCAGGTTGTGCGATATCTTGGTGCGCATACTTCTGGAGCAACAAAATCCCAGTTTATCTAGAAAAATATTAGTCATTGACAAATCAGTGGATGCTTGTACAGAGCCTTGTCTGAAGGTAAAAACATAAAAAATTAGGAATACAAAACTATTAATTTCTATATTATTCAAATCACCATATTCTACACAATTAGCACTGCAATAGTGAAATGGCGAAGCAACTACTTGAAATCATAAGAACTAGGGTGAGATAAAAGTGAGGCCTTGGTCTTATATTATTAATTGAAACTGCACAGCACACAGAGTGTCTCATTGAAGATAGCGATTTTGAGTTTTCATTTAAAAGCTTTTAAACCATGTTATTGTGACATCATATGTGACAGTAGAGCACTTTATGATGTCTTTAGGGCTGGGCTTTCCAAGTCGAATTATTAGAATCGGAGAAAATTTCATGTGAACAAGCAACCCTTTATCTACCTTTGATACCAATGCAAGTTCATTACTCAATTCAGTTTCAAGTGATGATTACCCAACTTGTTATTTCAAGAATTTGAGACTATTCATAAGGATGCATGTTGGGGAAAGTGGGCACAGCAATATTTTGCCAGAGTGTCAAATGAATAAAATTATCTCACCAGTATTGGATGATCACACTTAAATCCTTTCGCCTTCAATGCTCTTTGCAGTTTCCTTGTATGGTTTGGATCTGGATATCCATTGCTGAAAAAATGAATTTATGAACTCTCATTGAACATGTACATAGAAAAAGAATGGAAGTTTGGTAAATGATGGATCCTGACTTCAGAGTATTGCAGTACAGAACTTGCACCTAGAGATTTGAAGAAAAAACTCTTATTTGACAAACATTTAGGCGCTCCGGAAGTATTCGTACCAAGATGACGCACAACCTGAAAACTAACCTGGTACACAATACTATGTCAGGTCGTGCACCATTTTGGTATGAATACTCCAAGAGCACCAACATTTAAATTTATCATAAGCGACCAATTTAGTTTCTGTTAAAAAGTCTGAAATTGTAACTTCTTAACAGGAACAAATTATGACTCTGACTTCCAAATAAATGTCAAAGTTCAACCTTTCTTGGGTTTTGTTCAGAATGAATTATAAGAAAACCATTGGTACTGAGAACCACAACCATAGTGCAGATGGCCCAAAATACAACATTTTAGAAATCATAATTAGATTTCTTATCTATTTAATAAATACGAGTTGTGGTCATCATGGTTACGTGGATATGTCCGGAAATTTAGACCAGACCCTGGCAGTTAAAAAACATTAAGTCACTCTGAATTAAATAAATTGTTTTCATATAAAAATGAGCTTGGTTTTCTTTTGAGCAAGATTGATAAAATCCAAATAAATGAATTTGAATAATTTTTAGGAAAAATATTTTTATCCAATATGTCTTCATGCTTTGAAAATAAATCCCAAGGTCATTATAAGCAATAACTGATATACGAGGGTTGTGAATCCCATTTTTTATTATTTCCCCTAAATAACAATTTAGATATCAAATAAGGATTTTAAAAGGAATTTTGAACTGCCTCGTAGTGCAAATACATAACAAGATTTTGAATTTGTGTTATTCCTTCCTATTTCTTACATTTTATGAAGTAAGTAACCACCAAATATAAAGAACACAAAGTACTTACTTTCCTGGTCCTCCAGTTTTATTAGTCTTATGAGGAAACTCATTGTTCCAAATAATTTTTCCTCTTCTGTCACCAACTTCCTGAATCTTGAAAATCAATCCTGCATTGAATGCTTGATAGAGTAAGTTGTAACATATGTTTCCATCATCAGTCCATGGCAAATATTCAGTGAATTCTTGAGCTTCATATGAAACCCCCTGAAGAAACAAACAGAACTAATCATCTCTCATACCTGGGAGTTTGTTAAACTGATATAAATATCAGAATATCTATGAAGTTTTAGCAGAAGTTAAAAATTTTCTAACAAAATACTTGGTTTCTAATAGATTAATTCAACTTGACAACCCAACAACTTAATTAAACATTGAAATCAGAAATTATAAGGAAGACCGCTAAATATTTAGCTTGTCGTGATTTTACTGCATCATTGAATCAAATTCTAAATTAAACATAGCAGAACTAAATTCTATGAACAAATTAAATTTAAACAAACCACGAGTTTAATATTACTCAAGTTTCAACAAGCATATGATCTATATTGCGTATGTTATGATTTTACTGCACAAATGGCTTCTATATTCGAACTTTTTCTCAATAACAAACCTTTCAAAGCTTTGATTCCCATTATAACTGAATTCAATCAGCATACCAGTTTAAATTAATTATAGATGGACAAAGCATGAACCAGAGTAAACCCATATAAGCATTATACAAAATACTGCCTGATTCTGTATATTTCTATGAGAAGCAATAATTCCTGTGAGTGAATGCAAACATTTAGCAATACTTCTTTCAAACTTCTGGACTGTGCTTCTGGACTGGACTTTGATTACCAAACGGTGTACCGCTGTGCACTAGTGCTACGCAACAATAGAGATGGACACTGCTTGCTGCAATTTCCCAAGCTGCAGTTTATTTATCTGTTTATTGTTGAGTTTGTTTGGAGTTTCAAAATAAAATCAGGCAGAGAAAAGTTGACATTAGGCATATATTACAAACATAAAGTACACATTAATGATCACAATATTGAATTTTATTCAAATTTTTTCCATAAGTGCACCGTTAGCATTTTTTTCCTAATAATTCAGCGCCGCACAAACAAAAAGTTTTGAAACAGCTGGCCTAATGGTTGAAGTGTTGGACTGAACTAAGCTGACATCACATATTGAACATCTCGGTTCAAATCCATGTCAACCACCTCACACAGGATGAAATAAATTGGATAGGAAATGCAGAACCAGAAAATTCGAAATAATAATATCTCCTTAAATATCATTAGATATCAGTGTCTGATAGCTTAAATTTCATTAAATATAAGATATGACAGAATTAACATATTTATCCTGGGGAGAGAAAAGCCGATAAGACGACTTAATCAAGTGGCGAACCACAGCCTCTCATCCGGTTACCAGTCTATAACACGTAAGGGATTGTTTAGCCAGTTATTCGTTTTCGGAAGATGACTTGATGGTGGAGGAGGCTGTAACAGACCAGTGGTTACGTGAACCACCTACTAAATATCAGTGACTGCTTGTATAGGGCCTTGTTCAGAGCAAAAGGCATGAATAAGCATTGCATAAAAAAGTAAAATGACAGTACTATTATAAGGGATGTCTTTGCCATTTTATCAAAATCACCATATTTGTAGCATTAATGAAATCAAAGGGTATGACAGAAAATTTTTTATTTTCCATCCACGTTTTTTCTTCACATCGTGTTGTATTTAGTAAATTTTGACATATAATAAATGATTTTGCTTCTTGATTGACAATAAGATATATATTTGTGACCCCTCAATGAATCAAGAAATGAAATTCAAGAAATTCACAATAACAATAATTGTACCAAAGAATTCTAGGCAAACTATCAGGTTATGGGCATCCCTAAATATTACTTTTACCAAATTGTAATTTTCCATTTATTGCACTGGTATTTGTTTCAGGAAATATATTTTAATTGATCGATGTTCAAATTTACTAATGTGCAATGGGGATTGATATTAAGAACAAAAACCTTATTGATTAGGAATCTTGATTCCAGTAAATCTGTAATTTATTTTCCAACCAACAGTTAAATTTGTTTCATAACTCACCTTCAGACTTCCAGCAGGAAATGAGTAGGTGATGACACGAGTCCCATTTCCTACATATCCTGGCAGTGATTCAGGCAACCCATCCCATAACATCCCCCCACCAGATGGTTGTTTGTTGATGATTCTTAGACCAGAAGTAGTTTGACTTGAAGACTGAGATTCTGCACCTGGATAAATGAAACCAAAACTTAATGATATAAATAATGTTTGTTTTTATTTAAGCAAAAATGCTTGTGATTGATGGGTTCAATGATATTTAAAAGTTACCACGATATGTGATAATTAATTATGTATTAAAAGAATGAAAATTATGATACCTACATAATATATTTAAGCTTTTGTGTGGTTATATGAGTTTAGGGCAATACCATGGTCCAGTGCAGTGGTTCTTAAACTGGGGGCGCAAGAGGTCACAAGATGCCCATTTGAAATCCCACTCTTGTTGCTTTATAATGATGTACCATTGTGTTGTTTATGCGAATGCACAATGACCTTTTTTTTACATTGTCACAAAAACGCTGACGAATTAGGCCTACAAGTGACAACACACGATAAAAATGATCATTATGTTACGATGTTTTTTCTTTATTTATGCTGTTACAATGGTCAACCTGAAAGCGACACACGGTTTAATGTTTTGAATAAAAATAATACTTTTGCTGATGTGAGCCAGTTTGTAAGTAGGGCTAACTTTTCAAAACACTCTGAATTAAAGCGTCTGAAATTTTGCAATGGTAAGGTATAACATGAATTTTTCATAGGTCAACGGGGTCCACATGCATAATAACCGTAGAAAATGAACTGCTTTTCTTTATGCTGGAAACATACATAATGAATTTGCACTTCTCTATTTTTTAAACTGTATTTTCAGCCTTGTAGTTGTAAATATGTCAGAAAGGATTGTTTGTGAAGTTTGAAGAGGTTAAGCAAGCCAGGAAGTTTGTAATAGTTTATTTGCAATAGTTTTTAGCAAATGGATTTTTGGCATAGCTCAATAGTGATTACCGGTAAGTAAACACTTACTTGAGATTTTTTTTATGTGTGTTATGTGAACGTTTAATTAAGCAGGAAATACATTAAAGTGCAAAAAATATACATGTATTGTTTTTTGTTTTAGGTAAAATTCAGTTTGTATTTACCAAGTATTGCAAAATGACCGGAAAAGGAGAATGTATGATGACGATTATCTCAAGTATAGCTTTATACATACGACAGTGAATTATAAAGTTGTACTCCGATGCGTTTTATGCCTATAAATATTTGAGCAATTAAGCAATGAGACCAACCGACTCACAGCATATCATCATCATTAAACAAGGTAACCTGCCTTTTACAATAGCATTTGGGGGGGGGGGCAAAGTTTTTAAGAATTTTCAAAAGGGGCGCGGATCAAAAAGTTTAAAAACCATTGGTCTAGTGGTTAAAGCGGTAGACTTAACTGTAGGATGAAATGACAGATTACACATTTCAGGTTCAAACTCTATCCCCCCCCCCCAAAGTCAAAGTGTGTAATAAATAAGGTAGGCAACGCCATATAGAGAAAAGTCTGGTTCTTTGAAATAAAGTCCCTTTTTACTTATCAATAGATATCAGGAAGTGCAAGTATATGGCTTAGTTTGTAAATTAATGTATTTTCGAACAATTCAATGTAACAAATTTCTGGGGCTAGGATTAAAAACCTGTCCGCCGTGGGCGTCTAAAATTAAAAATTAAGGTGTATGGTGTTTCCTTTTTTATTTTTTGATATTTTACATTGTCGCTTTTCAATTCAGAAATTTTGGCTGTGGCTTCACTTTCTTATTACCGAAACGCAATTGCATGCGACATTGACGACTTTATCAGTCTTCTAAAATATTCAAAAGAGGGGGTGAGGGGAGTTCCGAGCCGCAAAATACTCCCTTGAACCACTTGGTACAAAGGATTTTTAATTCTACATTTGCTGTTACGCTATTTGTTTGTAAATAAACATGTTTATTGGACATAACGATCGTTTCAATATTTTGTTGTTATTGTTATTATTTGTCTCCATCATTTTAAAAAAATCTCTTTTCTCTTCGAATACTGGACCAATTTGCTTTGAAATATTGAGTGAGTAAAGATTGATTTTTTTGCCAGAAGGCTATTACTTTTATTTCTTTCTAAATTTCGCATGAAATCTGATATTTCGTCTAAAATTTGGCTGTGTTATTTTATCCATGGGAACACTGGCTGTCCGGTTCGATTCTGTAAATTATTTTTACGCGAAACTCGGAATTTTTTGTGGGTACCGGGGGCGTCAAAGGTGAATACTGCTTCGCTCTGGTTAACGTGTTCATATATTTGAGCATAGCTCTCTTATTATTTAGTGTTTCATATTGAGCATTCGGCCCAGTAAGCAATCTAGAACCGGCCGACTCAAGAAAGTAGTTCCACATTGATTTAAAGCTTTGATTTTCGAGTTGAAGACTGAGATTCTGCACCTTGATTGATAAAATCAAAACGTATAGCAGAAATACTGTTTGGTATTCATAAAGTCACAGGAAATGCCTGTGATATAGAAGTTTAAAAGGCCAAGGTATGATAATACACAAATTCATATTCAGATTTACATTTACTGTGTCTAATTGTTTTTTCACTCTTTTGTGTTTTTGATATGATCCTCAAAGGTATGCTGTAATAAAATAAATGGATTTGAATTTGGCTAATTTGAAAATATTTATTTACAGAAGAAATTTATCAACAGAATTTACCTTGACACTTGGCTTCAGCAGTCTTTTGAAAAATGGACTTGTTTGCACTAGTCGAAACAGCAAGCTGGTTTGTTGCAGAGATATTGGAAGACTGAGCAAAATCTGAATAAGATTGAAAAATATTAATATTGACTAACTTTTTCAAAACACAGTAAATGTTCAACCTAAAGTCCCGAATTGGGATAGTAGATAAACCACAGTTTCATTGTTTTGATGGAAAATCAGTAACAAGAGTTATATGGCTAGTATGGTATGGTAGAATAAGAGGAAAGAGATAAAAATAAGAGGAGAGGAAAGTAAATGAGACGGCTTAGTCATATGACAAACCAGGACCTCTCGTCCGGTTAACAGTTCATGGGTATGGGGTGAGTTTTCATCCAGTTATTTGTTTTCAGACGCATCAATGGTGTACCCAAACAGCGGTTCATGAACCACCCTAAGGTGACAAGGTATCCAGCAATCTTATTGCACATAATTATCTCCAAGGAATTCGATCCTGTTGACCCACGCATGGTTATCAAAGGTGCGATTGCGAGCGTATTCCTAATGCTTAGCCACACCAACCAGCCAATTAGCAGTCACGTCAGCATACAGCCCGCAATTACCAATAACAATTTAGAAATCTAGAAAACCTTTCTTTTCAGTTCTAAGCCTGTCATTCTCAATTTCCATTTTCCTCTTTTCTTTTTGCACCCGCCTCATTTCCTCTTCATGCTCTTTTCGCATTCTTTCTGACTCTCTCCTGACTTTAACAATTTCTTCTTCTGCAATTATTAAGAGAGAAGAATTGACAGACACACAAAAATCAAGGTTGCAACAAGTTCAAACAAATTGAATGTTTTCAAACTAAATTCGAAAAAGACTAAATTTGAAAGCTTGTCAAAGTAAACATTTGTATTTATGTAGCAAATTTATTATATAAACTTAAGCTTGGTTCCCATGTCTCATCAGAAAAAGGTGGTGCATATAAAAAAAACTGCAATTTCTGTTGACGTGGTACTCTTGGTGGCAAAATCAGAACAAAGACAGAAAGAGACCCAAAACAATCAAAAAAGCTGCCTAAATTTACCGTTCGTTTTCTTTATAAGCTTTTCCATCTCTTTCATCATTTTCGTCTTTTCTTGTTCATTTTTTAATTCCATCTGCTTCATTCTTTCTTCAAACTCTTCTTTGACTTTTACAACTTCCTTCTCTGGAGCGCTTCGTACTACAGAACCTAAAAGTATTGGTTTTATTTAGACAGATTAAAACACCACAGAGCAAAATTAATTGATTAAACAAATCAAAATGTTCCCGAATATCATTCATATAAAGCAAACATCTTGGGTATTATCACAATATGTCAGGTATGATTTAAGCTAGGCTTTGGGGAAAATATAAAACCTAGACTTTATTAAATAATAATTTCATATAAAAGTCTTGCAATAAACTTTGTTTCTGACGAGTTCAAAATTTTATACTAAGGTGGAATATACTGTGTTCGACCAATTATCCAGATTTTTGATTAAAGAAATATTTCATTAGAAACTATAGAACCTTTCTACTTACTCAGTTTGGGATAAGGGCAAACAAGTTGGCCACGAAAGTATTTATGCTTCCGAATTTGTTCGGTATTTGGACGATCCTGTGGTCGGAATCTGAGCATCCAACCAACCAAATCCTCCAGATCCCCTTCTAGTTTGCTCAGGTCACATCCTTGATATCGTTTGATATTGAGATTCCATGAATCTGGGTCATTACCGAATGGGTGGGAACCATCGGTCGAAATGAAATGGATTACGAGTGCGGAAGAAATATGTCCGATTGTTTAGAACAAATATCAGAAAGGTATATTTCCGGGGCCCTCCAACCATCAGTGCCAACACGTAAAGTGCTCATTTTGGTTACAAAATGTCCTTTTCTTAATTGTTTTCCCAAACCAAAGTCAATTATTTTGAGAATTCTACCATTGTCCGATACCAAGATATTATCTGGTTTGAGATCGCGATGTAGAACTTCGTTTATGTGGATATGATCGACAGCTTCAACAAATTGTTCTATTTGTTTATGCTTGACTTCGTCAGTCTTAGGCTTTGGATCGTCTTTGACAAAGTCTGTCAAGGTTTTAGATTCAAAGTATTCCATTGCGATGTATAAATGTTCTATTGGACCAAAGAAATAAGTCCCAGATTGGAGGACAGTTATCACATTTGGGTGGGAACGAAGCTTTCGGATGATTTCCACTTCTTTCCTATTTTCATCGCTGAGTTTGATAGATTTTATGGCGATTGGATCGAATCCTCGAGATCCTACATGAGTCTGCAAGCCTCTGTAAACTTCACCATACTTTGCTAGTTTTTCATTATAAAGCAGGAACAGGTTATGACCGACGCGAATTGAATCTGTAAAACATAAAATAGTATGTCTTTGATAGATAATTTGAATTGTGTGTGAAACACATCTGGTACAAATCTAGTATTTTTGTACATCTAAGCCACTGGAGGCTAAATACTAAATACACACATTTCCGGTAGCGCGAATGCCACATTATTTTCGCCTATGAACAATCGCCACATGAAACTTCATATCATGGTGCAATTGCACACTCTATTGCTGTGTTAAAAGCCTGCCACAAAGGGACATGTATGAGGTGTTTTTTAATAAATTATCAAACAATGCATTGTTTTTATTCACTTATCATCAATATGAAGGATGATGTTGTGTCTGTGTTATGGCCAAAATGTTATAATCAATTTGCAACTTCGTTGCCGAGTGGTGCATTGTTCGAATGATAATCTGACAAGCGAGTACAAAAATTTAATCTCAGTGTAATGCATTTTACATACAGCTGTCTGTAGAAATATATTCTTACGAACGTGCACATCAAATTGAGTTTTGGCACAAAGTTTATTGTTTTCCACTGTTGCTTTTCTAACACTGTAAACATTGTTTATAAAATGTAACTCTTTACGTCATACTACATGGTCCGCCAGTCTAGGTGGGCAATATTTTTGGCCCCTGATCCCAAAACCGTGCCCACCCCTGATATAAACACTAACATGCAAAGTTTGTGTCCAGATCAGCCCAAAAGTTTCCTGGGAAAGGTAGAATCCACCCAAATCGTGTAAACTTACCTTCAAAATGGAATGGTATTTCTCCTTTTGTTTCATTTTCTACTGCATCTTTAGACTTTGCTGCATTTTGCTTGGTTGTTGAGGTTTTTTCATATGTACTGCTGCTTCGATCAAGCGTAAAACCAGAACTTCCTGCAATACTGGTTTCTATATTGTCCCCTGTTGAGATAAAGCACAATAGTCAGAATGGTATTTATTTATTATTTACTGTAAAATATGTAAAACGTATGGTTGAACTTGAAACATGCTATTATTGTACAAAAACAATGAAATATTCTCCCTGAGTATTAGACAAATTAAATACTACAGTTCTTTCTTAATTTTTAACGTTTTTTTTTATTCACCCATTTTTAGTTTTTCAATTAAGCTCTATTGTTACAATAGCTGTGGCTTACAATGGCTGCTGTTATTTCAGGCATGGCTGGAACTTGGAAGTAACTTTGTACAAGCCAAAAAATATGACGAATAAAATTAACAAAATTTCACTCCATTTGCATAAAATATCAAATGAAGGTTATATGAAATGGTTATTGAATTGCAGAAAAATTTATTTGTACTTGTATTTATTCACTCCAAATTAGGTAAAATGAGATTTATGTAATATTGACCGAAACAAATATTTTGAAATATGCTTTTATTTGTAGGCTATAGACCAGTGTTTCCCAACCCAAGTCCGCGGAGCGGTTGAATGAGTCCGCAACGAGCCTGAAATTCACTGCGGGCCGCAAGCGTTTTTGCGAAAGTTAACTATCAGCCAAGTTACGATTCAGTTTGAAATTCACATAAAACATAAAAAGCAAGGTTATTCACATAACATTAATCAAGTCAATTATTACTAGTTACTGAGTATGGATGGGCATATATTCGAATATTCAACTATTAGAATAGCAATTCACTAATCGGAAATTTGGAGATTTGTTGAATTCACAAAAATACGAATCAAAACAAAATATAATCGGGCACTTCACATTGCATTTTTGTGTCCACGAATTGTCATGATATTTTCTGATTAGTATTGCTTTTATTTTGTCAACACAACCGCAGATTAAAATAATCACCATTAAATTAATAATAACGCAAGTCGGTGAATATGTATTTTTGATTTACTAATATACTAAGTACTTAATCAAGTTGTACTTTCTGGAAATTTATAGCAGATAGGATTTTTCTAACGACGATAACAAATTTGCCAGATCTCTAAAAATATGTATCAAAACTAAATATAATCGTGCAATATGTTACCAGATTGCTGTGGTATTTTAAAGAAGTAATGCTATCATCTTGTCATAAGTCGACGCAACCGCGAGATACCATTAATACAATTAAAATAGAAAACATTTCAAGACATAGACAGTTTAAATTCTCTTCGTTGTCATGGATTGATTATAGTGCGACAGAAAAGGCCATTATACAATAAAAAGTCGGCTCTTTTAACAAACGCGTAATTGCGTCGAATTTCCAATTTTGAAATTCGTTCAAATTCCGTTGTGTTTGGTTTTATTGCCTATTCACACAGAGTACGGTTGCAATAAACGCACCTTGAGTCCGCAAAGGTTTTCGCCGGTGAGAAATTAATCCGCGACCAAAAAAGGTTGGGAAACGCTGCTACAGACATAAATTAGATCAAATAATTAACCTTTAGGATAACAGTGAACAAAACGGCAGACCTTATTCTCACCTTCATTAATGGTTTGCTTGAAAACAAATGTTGGAGCTACCACAGTTCCATGATTTTCTGAATGTTTCATTAGACTTTGGAAAATATTTTTACCAAATTCTTGTACCGTCCCGGGCATGGAGGGCCTCGATACTTGTAATTCATTTCGAACTGAAAGACGTTTGTTTGCATCTGAAAATTCTGTTGATTCATCCGAGGAATCAGCAGAATCGATTTCTCGTATTTTACCAGATTCAGCCATTTTGTCAATTACATGAGTAAGGTATAACAAATATAGATTATCAGTCTGCAGTATACAAAAAATGCAAAATCATCAGAATCAAATAGTAGAGGTTCCCAACCCCTTAATGGGGGGCAACAGAGCGGATTGGAGGGGCCCATAAGGAGGGCACTGGAATGATAAACGGAGGAGGCCATGAGTGCTGAAATCCTCCATAAAGAAGGCACAAGCCATAAAGGCTAGGAACCACTGACTTGTAGCAATATAACTGGAGCAGAAATGCAGTCAATTTTATTTTAATAGTGTGGAAATTTTTACCCAGGTTGCAGGAGCAACAATATAGCACAGTGGTCCCCAAGCTTTTTATTTTATATATGTGCTGAATACAAATTAGTACGTCCCTCAAAGAAAGGTTATTAAGTTTTGATGCATTTCTGTAAATTATTTACCTTGAATCAATCCAAATACTATCAATTATTAAATTACCCTGTTATCCATAAAATTTAAATTTTTTATAACTGACTTTGAGTGCACTATCACTACTATTTTTGAGTATCGTATTTCCGGCTATTAGGCCAATTTACAAGACCTAATTTTTAATACTGACTTACTGGAGTTGGATTAGTTTTCGACAAGAAAATACTCACTCTAGTCAAAATCAACCTGGGCGGTACCGGAAATGTGGTGATGAAAATGCATAAATTGTACTTTCATGTTACTCATTTCATAGAGTCTGCCTTTTGTAGACCAACAATTGAATTGATATTAGAGAGTGAAAATAAGGGCTGTTACAGTTGCGCAATTACACGCAGAACCCCCAGAAAAATGAAGAACATACCGTACTTGAAATGAAACTTCGAATCTGCCATTTCTACAAAAATTTCCTGCCGCAACCACAAATTTTCTTGTCAAATAATATTGTCAAACACACAAGTGGTGAAATTACAAACTTATTGCAATTCCCAACCAAGGAAGAATTACCCCCAAGAGAGGAATTCTGTTTTTTTTATATATACCGTAAGCACTTCGCATTGAGTAGCGCAAATATTAAATCATTTGGTTTGTAGTAAATCATTCGAACTGTACAAAAATGGGAATGCAGCTTGCGCATTATATCAGAAAGCGGTTCATTAGAAATTTAATAAATATTATAGTATTCATAGAGAGGGAGGTAAGGTTCCAAAATAGGTAAAGGGGGGAGTAAATAAGAAAAGGTTGAGAATCACAGAAAAATTAAATGTGTACTGACAACAGATAAGATGTCATAATGGTAGCAGTGTTCTGGAGTCGGAGACATTAAGTTGGGTTTGGTCAACCCAAGTACTTAAAAATTTGTTTCTTGTTTTTAATTTTTCCGCTATAAAAAAATTTATTTTTCCACCACTGATTAAGATAGATTTCATAGAAAAAAGTCGCACATAAAATAATTTGGTTCTGCGACCCCCTGAAAAGTGCCCAGGTTGGGAATCCCAGATATAGCAGATCTTGGATCCTCAATATTTAGAGAGTAACAACACAACCCAGGAGTTATATAAATCCCGCTCTACTGCTCATAGAATGTATGATAATATTAAGATATAGGCTACCCACTACTAATATAACTTGGTTTGAAAATTACTTTCAACATAAATCTGCATTCTGCACATGTCAATACTAGCTATACTTGCATTAAATGTTACTTTGCAAAATTTGTAAATCAATAAAAAACTGCCAAATAATGCATTAGCCTTCGCATAGCTACAAGTTTGTTACGATTGTACTCAAAAATAATGCAACTTGCCATTTATTACCATTTTTAAAAAAATATGCAGTATTTGGTATCATAAGCATAAGTCCTTCATAATTATGAGACATAAGTTATACTTGAAATTAAACTCATCTACCAGCTATTTTTGGTTATCGCATATCCTTGCATATAAGCCGAGTCCCTAACTAAAAAAAAGTTGCCAGACTAAGGAATCGGCTTATACGCACAAAACTAGACTGAAAAGATTTATTTAGGTAGTTTGACAGAGATAGTGAGGATGAATTTAAAGTGGTTTGAGACACTTTTTATCATTATTAAATAAAGACATTAGTGGTTATCATTCTTGATAAATCTCTTCTGCAACCATTTGCTGTGATAGGTTCGTCTGACGTGTTACAATTTGTAGGATATACGGTTATATTAAATAATGATTAATGTATATTCAACAAATTTTCATTGTTCAATTTTCCTGACACTGGATTCTGACCAAAACCACTGCCAAACCATTTAATATGTTATTTAATACGAGCCAGCTCCTCATAACCAAACCAAAATTGTTTGCAAGTTTGGTCCTGATACATACATTCCTGATACTTAATACAAAACTGGAATTGGACTGCTGCTCATATTTGCTAGAAAATTCTGTTTTTCAAGAGTGTCATTTTTTTCGGATTGCCCACAAATTAGTATCATTATTTTATTCAGTTTGCTAGCTTACACCAAGCTATATATCTATATACTGAAGCTGAAGAATATGAATGCAGGGTTTGCAATACAAATTGCAGAATTGATTTTACTAGCAACAATCTTGGATATTTTAACTAATTTGTTATTGCCTAATTCTCTGATGTTTCTATCAGGTTAGCTTTAAGCATGACCGACAACAGTATGATTTATTCTCATGTTTTAAACTATTTTACAATATTATATTTATTCTACTGATATAGCCAATTACGGTATAAGTTTTCGGAAGCATGAACTTGATGGATATGCGGAAGTTCTTATTTTTCCTGGTACATGTTGTGATGGTGAATTGTCACTATATGGTGATCAAGAGCTATTATGACGTCATTGTCAAGCACGTTGCGTTGCGGACATTCTTGAAGGACATTCGGATAGTGAAGCTGGTCGAGCTAACATGTCTCTCGCTGGATACCGGTATACTCTAATATACTTTTCAGTTAACTTGTATAATTTGCGTGCTTGCTTTAGTTATGCATTATAACTGTATAAATAAACACTACAGTAAAGTAGGGTAGTTCTCATAATTCTGTAACTGCTGATCTGTACAGCTTCCTCTACTACACATTTCACACATTTTAAGCAAGCAATTAGTTTAATAAACAATGCCCATATTCCCATACCAGAGTTGGATTGGTACTGGTAGACTGGTGGCAAAACAACTGGGCGTGGTCTCATCAAGGTTATTCATTATCACAACAAATATAGTGATTCAAAGACACCAGTTGAGAATATATGTAAGTAAAACACAAAAAAGACATTCAAGACCACTTAGCCTACAACTACCCACTTTCCTAGCACTGTTACAGCTGTTGTGAATCAAAGTGACTAGGCCTATATCAAAGTGACTATAGTCACTTTGTTGTGAATCAAGCAGAAAACAAGGAAATAGGTAATAATCCTGTGGTTTGCAACAAAATCCCACACGGTAAAAAAACTCCCCATTAACAATAATCCTACACAGAATTAAAGTTAATGGATGACAAAACTAATTTAGGCCTATTAAGTAATTAGGGGTAATATTCGCAAAACAAGAAAAACTATTCAAGAAAGAACAGATTTTTGGAGAACACTATGATTGTATGAAAAATATATGCAAGCCTGAAGGTTTAATTAAAAACAAAAAAAAATAAGATCAGCAACTTGCCAACAAATTTGAAAAAAGATTTTTAATAGTAATTGGGGTCACAAGTTAATATATTAAAGAATGGTGGGCAACAAAGTGTAACTTTATGAGTAAAAAGTTCGTGAGTAAAAAAATCAAAAATCAGTTATACTCACATTCAGTGCAAACTCAACAACTTGGGATCAAATTCAAATATTACTCCCCAAGTTGGTTTTGAAAGTAATTTTATTCAATCATGTGTTTCATTCGCTACTCTGTAGAAGCTTTGAAAATCAACAAAAAAGTGGTTGTTTTCATATTTGGCTGAAACGAAAATTTGAGACAGTGATTTTAAAAAACATTTGAAGTCACGAGTATCATATAATAAATGATCAGAGATAAAGTGTGACTTAAGGTTATATAGGCCTTTAAAATGTTAATGAAAATAATTTTTTTGTGTATTCCAGTATTCTGCTTGCCTATTAGAAAATCAATGTCAAGAGAATATAGAGCTAATCATTCAATGAATTTAATTTTGATTGTAAAATACAAAATAATGTAATAACAGCAAACTACCCGAAAGGCAAACATACCTTAGGATGAAGTTGAATACGTATGCGCACCTTAACCATCCAACATGACAATTACAATCTAAAAAAATTATGATATTTAGAGAATTTTGAAATAAAAATATGCGTAACAAGGCAAGTGATTTCCAGCAAAACTGAACAAAACCTGGTGTCCATAGTTTGCAGTGGACACATGAAACATGTTATAAAGAATAAATTCAAACCAGCAATCCATCTCAGCATGACATTTGTCCTTCATACTAATATAGATTGGTTTAAGAAGCACACAAACGCATATCACAATTCAAATTTCATTATATTAGAGAATCTATAAAATGCTATAGAAATTTGATGCAATATTTGTTCATGTTTTCACTCCCAACAGGGCAAACAGACACTGACATGTAAAGAGCTAATCTTCTTGAAACAACCTAAATATTTTTTGGGGTCGATATTGTCTACTCAATTTATTACACACTAGATGAGGTGGTGTGCATGGAATCAAAGATGTGTAATACATGTTAACCACTGAGCCTTTGCTTCTGATTGTTAGGGCATACATAATCCAAACTTTTCGTGAATAACTAGTCTGTTGTTATTACTGGTTTGGGGATATTAGTGCATGTTTATCTATGTAGGGACATGCTGTGTCTTCTAGTTTCGCAGAGTTGTGAAGCTAACTATGATAGACAGAAACTTTTATGGCCACCGCACATTAGGGAACATGATGATTCTTAAAGAATCTAGTCAAACAAATGTTGGTTTAGCATAGTTAAAATTGGACCAAGTTAGTACACTCATGTCATGAATAATTCATGATAGTTTGCTGTAAGTGTTCATTTTGAACCAGTTCTTTAGT